ATATAAGAGGCCTTTAGTGACCACTTAACGTTTATGAGTGCGATTGTTAATATAATTAAATTCAATTAATTCGTAGTATCTGGTAAAACCAACCGATCTAATGAATTTGGTTAGCACATGAACAAACTGCAAACTAGGTGAATGTAAGGCTTTAGAAACTAGTTTACGCTGAAGTTTCATACGATCGGTAACAACGAACGCAAACTCTATAAAATGTCTACCAATCACGCTATCGGTAAAGGTGGCAATACACTGCAGTTAGGTATGTTTTAATCTGTTCAATTTAATATCTTTTTTTTTACCATTTGGTATAGAACTAAAAAAATAAGCATATTATTGCTTAAAATTGCATTAAATGCGTAGTAATTGAAACTAGGTTGACCCCTGACGTGACCGTAAATACTATAGTGTGTTACGAGCATTATATCCAATCATTTGTACTCGATAGTTTTCCAAAATTTAAACTGAAAGAAACTTTATCCATCGATCTATTTTATTACGTTAAGTTTCTTTAAAAGTTATCTAATATTTAAAGCCCACTGTCTACATTTTCTATATACATTTAAGTCTGTATTTTAAATTTATTTCATACGATAATATTAAAACTATAAAGCAAGTTTATCAGTGATTCTGAGTCCCACGTATGACGGAATGTTTCATGTATATATCTTAGTTAGTGCAGTCCGTATGTACGTAGCATTTCATCCAGTAATTATGATTGTTTCCCTTCGTGGAATAGTGCATGTAGTTTTACTGATAAGATTTGTCTACGCAGCCTTCGTGTAGTCTACGAGCATAGATTCAAGATTACAGAGGCTGAACGTGAAAGGGCGTTTTGTTTCCTTTAACGCGAAGAAGACTAGGATTTTTAATTTTTTTTTTCAACTCTACCGAGATTGTTAGTACAGGAATAACTAAATCTGAAAGTAGCTTTTATAGTTTGATAGATAAGTGTATTTAAAAAGTATATTACTAAGTTTTGACTTAGTTATTTTTTTTTATTTAATTCCATTGGTGAAACATTTCAGACAATCATTGAGTATACAGATGTTAGTGTCATATTCACGTTATGCACTGGCTTACTCGATGTCCACTCGGACAAACATACTCGTAGTGTTTGTACGTTTAGTGAGAACAGGTGGCTACATAATTAACTTGATGTAATGGACAGTTATTAAGCAATTTCTGCAGTCAAACGGCGGGAAGCTCGGCTATTTCAACGCCGTATAACTTAATGTGAACCGATTCCACGTACACGTATGTTTGATCGTAATAATTGAATTAAAATACTGTAAATTTTTTCCAATTAATGTACTTTTTTCATATGATTAAATTGTTATTAACTTCGTAAGACATTTTATATACTAAATGGCGAAACACCGAGTGTTAAAGGGCCATGGGCTTGAAACTAGTCGGTGCCGGCACCGGACAATACATGAGTTTATACATATATTAGTTATAACCTTTCTCTAACCGAAATGTGACTATTCTTATCGCCCTAAGAAGGATAATATGGAAGGAGGAAGGATGATAAGTATCTAGTTCTAGATATTATTAGTTAGAATCCTTTGCTGCGGATCGCGCCCTTTCATTAGCAAGTGAAGTGTCGGAATGATTAGTGAGGAGACATAAACGTCGACATTTAAGTTAGGCTAGTGTTGCGCCAGTGCACCGGCACAGTGTTAAATTTTCTTCCTAACACTAGATAACTTTGACCACCAGTGAAGTATAAACAAAGCTTTTGAAACAATAATGGCACAATTTTACAATCACATATTATAGAGAATTGACCGAAGACTTCCTATTTACCGTGTTGCCAGCTGCTTGGTTTATAAGACGTTTAGTTGTAAGTAGACATGTGTCTTCCGTATACGACAGTTATGGTACTATAATCCATAAAAGGTTTCCCATTTCGCATGCAAAGTTCGTAACGATGACCATTGCAAACTCAAGTATTTATTTTTCCTCTTTGAATATATTTTTTTTTAATTTTCCTAAAGGTACACGGTAAGGATAGTCGAATGCACTTTGAATGTTAATTATTTTAATTTGACATTAGTAACCATTATTTGAATATTAACCGTGGGAATATTTTTTAGGTTAATTAAAATTCACAGACTGTTGCAAAATATTCGTCCACATTTTTTTAAATAATTCATTGTTTATAATACAATTTAGCGAATTAGTTACAAAATACATTTAAATTAATGTTTAGTTTAAATATTATTTTCTAAGCATATTTTTATAAAATATAAATACTGATATTATAAAGAGAATTTTGGCTGTTTATTTGGTGGTTTCCATTGAATAAACTCCAAAACTACTGAACCGATTTGAAAAGTTCTTTCACTGTTAGAAAGCCACACTATCGCCGGAATAACTAGAATGAGAGTACATATATTTAGTGCTAGATTTTTTTTTTTCGCACAAACGAAGTCGCGCGCAACTGCTAGTGTAAAATAAAATGATAAATCCTGGGTAACCCTTTAAGTATTCACAAATATCTTTACTTATAAAGTTCTAGAGACAGATAGGAGTATCTTGATTTTTTATTTAACTTGGCACCAAATATGTGTGTTCCGAAAAAGTAGCAATTTAAATACGACGTATGCGAAGGCTTTCCAATGACCCAATTCGAGTGCAATCAGCTGGCGAGTGCGGCAATGTTAATGCATTTTATATTGGTTCAATTGCGAGCAGAGACGGCGGCGGCGCGGTATGCGCGCGATGTGTGGGCGATTCGCGGGAAGCCATTAGGGCCAGCGCGAATTGGCACGCACCGACAACTGACGGATTCTCTGGATATACCAGTTGCATGAAACTAAGAACTCGTTCAACTGTTGTAAGGGTTTTAGAGGATTAATTAAGGTCATTGACCGAACTCGGTTTATTAAAATCAAGTTACTACAAGCGTAATTACCGTTGCCAGAAGGTGTTTTATGCTAATAAAATATAAGAGACTTATAGTAGCCTATAGTATAGTACAGCGGTTCTCAAACTTTTTTGGTCAAGGAACCCTTTTGTGAAGAGAATCCAGAATCGTATATACCAGATTTCAAATTTTCTAGGCCCTAGAATAATCAAACAATGATTTATTTGTAATTATTTTTTCATATCGCTCATTTACTTCCTTTTCTAACATTTTCATTTTTCATAAGTATTATTAAAAATTTTGACTGATTTTTCACTCACTCTTTGAGTAACGCTAGAGTTATATAATTTAGTGGAATCTTTGATAAATTTTGACGCGATTAAAATCATTAGTAATGTCTGCTTTATTAGTAAGTAGAATTGATAAATACGAAAATCAATATTAGGGTTTTTAATGAGTTAAACAAGAGCAGGGCCACAGGCGCAGGCGCAATGCAATCGTGCGTTTAGGGCCACATGCCGACGCCAAGTTCCATGGAAGGCGATGAATAACTCATTGTTCGTCCGTACGTCCGTCGTGACGCACGCTTCTCGGAAACTAACGATGCGGTGCAGAAAGTGACCGAGATAGTTGACCCGAGAGATGCATGCAATGCACCGAATTAAACATTTCGGTGATTTAAGACCACTTGCTCCCATTTTTTTAATTTATTAATGCTGACATTACGGTATATGTAGAATTTCTACAGTAGAAGTTTCCTCATTAGTATAGAAGAAGGAAATTAAAATATATTTAGTAACAACAATGCCTTGATTAACTTGAGTTCCTTAACGCGAGAAGCTATGTGAATTCAGTCTCATACAAAATAATTTATTTTAGCTTAAATTTTCCTCAACCTCCAGCTCTATAATGAATAAAACTAAAATTATAAAACAATAAAATTGTTTTATAAATAAAATTATTTGTCAAAAAACCTTACTATTAAAATATTTAAGTATTTTTTCCTTCTTTAAGTTGTTTGTTTTTTCCCTCTGTCCCTTTGCATAAAGAAACAATAGTTCAAGAATTAAAATGCTACAAGCAAACACATAGAGATGTAAACTGGCTCAGTGTTAATGCGTATTAAAAGCGTGAAACCGAATACATTTTGCATTGAAGTCACGGTGTATTTAGCGTAAGTTATATGACTATAACATCGAATATAAAACGAGGATGTCAAATTCAAATGGAGTACAATTCCCACCGGCTCTGGATGCAATGACGAAGTGCATCACTCTAATTAGGATGCTAGTGACGTTCCGTTCACGCATGTCGGCATCGGTCACCAAACAACTGAATATTCGCACACGACTATTGTGATACCACTTTATGGTCTCGGCTTGCCTTTATACTCCTTAGTTAGCATTCCAAATTGGTAACACAAACGTTTTTTTATTTCATACCGCTTAATGTCATGTCATAGCAATAAAGAAGGGGCACGTCTACATAAGAGTTGTGACTCAAGTTTGTACGATTGTTAACCTCACAAACGTAATTGTCTACCAATTACCATGGTATTCGAATGACTAGTTTTAAATTTGTTACAACTTTTTGCAAAAAAAATCGACGTATGATGAAAAAAGTATAAAGTCATAATAGCTTTATTATCATTGAATATAACACTTTTATTCGACTACTAGTAGGTACTACATCGTAGTCAATTTGCTACGAAGTCTACGCACAACATTGAACTATTGAATTATAATCTATAATTGTCGCCTTTAACTTCGTCATTTATAAAAAGCTAATTTAGTAGCCTATGTGTCCTTTCAAACGTATGTATTGTACTACGTACAACCTTTCTGGAGTTACGTTCTAATATCCATCCTTGCAAACATTCGCATTCACAATATTTATTTATTTATTATTTACAACATGGAAAACTTACAGCTATAATAATCTTATTAACTATAGACTAGACAACTGAGAGCCAATGACAAGTCTTCACTTAAAACAATATTATATCTATAATGAGCAAACAAACAAGGATCGCAACTATTAAACTTTAGTAATAGATAACAATGTAGATAATAATATTAGTGAGATTTAATGATATTTTATTTATAAATACATATTTTTTTTGTTACAGGTAAACAGACCATTGACGATGAAGAAAGAAGGAATTCAAACGCGAAATCGCAAACTGAGCAGTAAGAGTAAAAAGAAGAAAGGGGGAATGGGCATGGGGGGCGGAGGAGCGTGTGCGCTCGCACTCGGAGGTGTCATGGGAGACATGATAAAGCCGCTCGGAGATGCCACTAAAGGTTTCGGCGGATCAGCGTTTCCCTCCGCAATGGACTTTGGTAAGTTTAAATATTTCTAATTACAACTATGACTAGGATAAGGATTGGCTAACTAAGACTACCTAAATTATGTAAAATTAAATATTAATAATTTGAGGGACTTCGTAAGAACTGTGCATGATAACGCCATCTAGTATAATTTAAGTGTATTAACTTTCTACTTTTGTAATACAGGTCAACACCAAGTGGGTCTGGTGCACCCGGCGGCGGCTCACATGTCACATTGGTACGGCGCGCCGCACCAGGGCTTCGCCCCGCCGCCCGCCTCACACAATCCTTACCACCATCATCACCTCGCGCAGCTCAACTCTATGGTAATTAAACCTTTATTAAAATTTAGCTTCCATTAAATTTAAAGTGTCCTTATGTCACTCTAAAAATTGTCATGTTGTTTGTAATCCGATTCTCGACATCTGAAATAAATTAGAAAAAAAAAATTGTTGACTTTAAAAATTTTCTAGACAATTAATGATTAACACGATTGTTATCTTTTGCGATAGTGTTCAGATAACATTATTTACATCTTTTAACTAAATTTACATTTAATTTAATAGTCCATTAAATTGTAAAAATATGTTTATAACTCTTGCATTGTATTTTAATCTATAATATTTTTTTCAGACTGGCTGGAGGAGTGAGTACACGTGATAAGTCAGTTGCAGAGCCCGACTTCGAATGTAGACAGCTGATGACGTCACCGCGAACCATAGAGAGAACGAAGACATCACAAAATAGTTACTGTGATTTCAATTAGAGATGATTAATTAACCGAAAGTAGTTCGTATTAATCACTGTATGACCTTTGACACATCACATTAATTTTATAAGACTGTTAAATGAATTGATGTTTATAAAAAAACCCACACTCAATGGTTTTTTCCGTTTAATTTTACAGAATTAATAAATTGTTGGCGCGGTTTTTTTTTTGTATTCCGCGTTCGTTTGCAAGTATTATTTAATAGCCTCGCGCAGAAGATTTGCCGATGATTCCAACAAATACCGCGCTCGTCTGTTTATCGTAAGTAAATGTGTGACGTCATAACGTCATCGGCAAAGCTTCTGACTAAATAGGTGCGTTTTACAATGAGAGTAACTAGCGAAATTGTACAGTATTATAATGTAATTTAGGGTCGTTTAATGTCCGTTTAGATGATTTATATATATACGATATAAGTAGGTATTGTTAAAACGAAAAACAATTTGTGTATTTTGTATATAAACATATCTTATTAAGTTATATACCGTTCCTGTATAGATTGTTTTATTTTCTTTTTTTTTTTATTTAATATCGAAATATGCGGATCGCTATGGGAATTGTGATGTGTTCAAAGAATTATTATTCCACAGTGTTTTGTACATTTGATTTTTGTAGACTTTATTAAATGAAATGCAATAGTAATTTATATAATAGATTATAAATGATGCAAGTTGTATATAATATATATCTAATCTGTGCGGATTTTATTTGAAGTTGCCGCTAAGATAATTTTTAAAACAGGTCACCCAATTGGTTCCAATTCCGATCAATTTTGTAAAGGTGCTTCTACACTAGGAGCATTCGTCTTTAATGACATTTAAGATTCGAATTTAGAACATTACGTTGCGTTACAAAATTACAAAGTATTACAGATTTCATCATTATAAGTTGGCCACTGTTACAGACGAATGCTTCCAATGTGGGAATACATTAATCAGACGCAGTAATATTTTGTTTACCCTGTACCTTTTGTAAATTTAAGATATTGTGTGGCCATAAATTGTAAACGGGGAGTCTGTTTGGGGAGGTGGTAACGTATGCAGACATGTACATGGTTCTCAAAATGTTTATTACATCCTCAAACATAGCCTCGTAACACCGATGTGTATATAAAATGTAAATGACCCGTAGAAAGTAAACGTATTGAAATAAAATTGTAAATTCACGCAGAACACCCTATAACGATATCCCGTAACTAAAGTTTTTAGTTTTTAAAAATGAAACATTGTGAAGTTGTGTATTTTAAATAAAATTGCGAATAAATTATCAATACTTATTGATATTTAAATGAAGTTTTCATTTTTATAATAAACCCCCATAAATATATTTTAGTAGTATAGGAAACATTCTTTGAGCAATGTAATAATATAGAGTTTAATCAGTTCTGGACTACTGAATAACAATTATCAGTAATCAGTTTACATTGATTGTTAATTAATCCAATAGTTCAATGACCGGTCGGTAGCAAGCCAATTTATAATTAATACCTCATAGTTTTGCGATCTCTTTTCACTTAAAATCAATTAAATTTATATAATAGCTCTTATATTAAGTTACAGGAAAATTTTACTGTAGTTAAGCAATACGGAGTTATGGTTCGAAAAATAAAAAAATCATTCGTAAAATTTAATTTTATAAATATTTAAATCTTATAATTGGGTACAAATGCCTATTATTAATAGCCCTGCAAAGCTCTGGGGGACTATAGTTACGCCTCGTATTAGATATTGATTGAATTGACCATTCATTCGACATCTCGGTCCGCCATAAGTCAGCGGATCAATTCCGGCATTGCGCAGAAAAAGTCGTCCAAAAGTCGCGCTTATCTCGCGGCAAATTGAAAATGCAGCCGGCCGTGTGATTGTGACGCAAGCGGGGCCTCTGCCGGCGACATATGGACCTATTCAATTTTAATCGCATTTCAGAAGAAAGGACATCGGATAAAGTACCTATAAAACGCTCCCCGTACGTCGCTCGATAGAGCCCAGTTAATAAGCTGGTTTTATTTGCGGTTTGAGATTTCAAGGGTGGCTTGTTCATTGTTGGTGGACAATTAAATGTTTGGGATTGATCTTTTTAAATCGCAAGACTTTGTTACTCTAAGCGTTTACGCTCGAATGGAAATACGTTAAATTTGGTAAGTTTCTTTTCAATTAAAAATTCAATAGTTTGCGAAGAATATTTATTTGGTATGGAATTAAATAATACTAAAGTAACACATCCTGTTGGGTACGGATTCGTTTATGGTCGCGAAAAAATGGTGTTGTCGTGTATTTTTAGCGGCAAACCAGAATCGTATTCGCATAAGTCACTAAAGAACGGGTGATATACGGGCCGCTAGCGCGGGAAAAAATGTCGCCCAACAAAAAGCTCGGCATCAGTCCGCGGGATTTATGGCGCGCGGCAAGACCGGCGGGCATGCGAGCTACAACACCGAGGGCGAATATTCTTACACCTACCCGCGCGGAATGCGCCTACCCCCCGATGTGACGGAACTTTGCACTTCGCTAAATTACGACTTCGACGCAGTTGTATTTCGCTTAGCCGCAGTCGAGAACATTAATAAGTCTTCTCCTTATTTACACGTCTCGTCCTCGTCCCAAGTTGGCCCTCAAGTTGTACCTCCCTTTGTATTCAAATTATTTACACACATCATATCTAAAGCTGTTTCCTTTGTAACAGTAAGTCAGTGTAATTCAACGGCAGTAAAACTTCGCAGTTTATGATGTGTCGAAACAATTAACGGCGAATCACCTGCCAGCTTCAAGAGTTCCATATATATAGGAAAGAATAAAAAGAAAAATTTTATAAGAGCAACTACAGAATTTCGTAACAAATAAAAAGATTGCTTTACAATATAGTTTAACAAAGTTAAACATAAAAACAAAGCGTCGTTGCGTAAATAAATAACAAGCTTAAATCCCGATATAAAAGTGTAGGAAACTAGCGTCACAAATCCTATAAGAAGAGTCATAGAGGGTCGTCGGATCGTGAGTAAAGGATCGTGCACACTCCACCGGCCACTACGTCTGATCCGGGAATCAATCTCGGACTTAGTGCGCTTATCTCGCTGACCCCGGCCCTGGCGACTGTCATGCTCTATCGCTCAACAATTTTTATAACCCTATATTTTTAATAAATAAAATAATATCAACTTAGCAACAAGAAAAGGTACCTTACGGCCAGTACGATTTCTTGGCCTATAAAATCTAGGAAATTATTGCTGCAAAAAGTATAATTTCGGTAAAGTGAAATCTTTATCCAAAGTGTACTTCTTAATAGAACAGTGTAGAAAGACATCTCTTCCTTAGCCCCCCTTTCTTAGTTTCTAGTTCTCCGTCTATCCTAATGAGTTTTACAAATTTGCAAACAGCGATTTTTACCCAAGTGTAAACCGAGCTTTAATTTTATATTGTATTGATCCTAGCAGATATCGATATGGTCAAATTTAACCACTTACTGTATATGTTAATCTTAATAATCTTATATTACTAATATTATAAACGCAAATGTTTGGATGGATATTTGTTTGAATGTATTTCCAGAACAGCTGTATGGATCCCACGAAAATTTGGAACAGATGTGGAACATAGTCTGGAAGAACACATAGGCTTCTAATAAACTTTTCTTAATACCGCGCGGACGGAGTCGCGGGCGACAACTAGTATTGTGATAATTTAAAAAATGTATCATATTCATGAAATAACCACTCATAAATATCTAAGACATATCTTAGGTACGCGCTAATCATAATCCAATAAAAAAGCTATTCCACGAAAACCTATTTACATAACATTACATACCAGTATTATGTAATTACTTTATATTCATTACATAAACATATTAACAGTTACGCTCGAGATAAGCATCAAATCCATATGACTGTAAATTCGATCGTTAACAAAGCAATAAAGTGGGAACCAGCGTCATCTCAGCCGGAATCAAAGAATTCTATTCTCGGAACTACTCCTATTAGATAGCAGATAAAATATCGTTGAAATACTTTGAACTTTTATAATAAAAATAAAAAAAAAAACAACGTTTCAACACGACGTAAATACAGCCCATGAAAACATAGAGAACATTAAAGTATGCAACAAGGTATCAATAAAGCTTCTTGTTGGAAGTAGAGATAAGTAATTAAACGTTTTAAAATGATAAGGTTAAAAAATTATAAAAAACCTCTATATCAATAAACTAAAGCTTCCTATAAGCTAATAGATAAAGAATGTCACCTTTCAGTGAATTTTATGAAAATGACAAATTATATTTAAACATGTCACTGGCTGACAATATCTTTTATTGTCTATAGTTTTAGTTTCGAAAGTTTTTAATCGATGGGAAAAAGTTGTGTCTGGCGATGGGCAATACTTTGAATGATTCATTTGTAACCATTTTTTTAATAATAAAGTTATATTTTTATCGAAAAAAAAGCGAGAACTTAGTTGCGCACCTAATACAAACATGTCTTTGATAACAGCCTTATTTATATATGTTTGTTATAATCTATCATTTCCATTGAATTTACGTATAATTTTATAGCGTAAAAGATTTTAACATAAAATGAACTGAACCGATTTTTAATATGAATTCAGATGCTTACTAAGGGAGTCGCTTTAAATTGATTAAGTAAGTGAAGTCTACACTGAGGGAGTACCATAATAACTCTATGTGGTCATTTCATCATGTAAAGAATTATTGGTAGTTTACAGTTTATTAATCATTTTTCCATTTTTTAAAACAATGCGATATTGAATATCGGAAACATAGCCAAGCACCTGCCTCGCCTCCCTAACTTTATATTATAATATATACGAAGATAGGGCCTTAATGCATTCGGTTGGACGTAATTATTATTTGGTGCAAACGTATTGAATATTAAGTCCAATATTGGGTCAAAAAAATCTTTAGAAGTAAAAGTATGCTAATTACTATGGCCGATGTAACGGACTCGAAACAAGGGAGTGAGGCAGGTGATGTGATAAAAAGTGACAGAATGTTAATAAACGCGACACAAAATTGTTATAATGCTTGTTTTTAACCGTTAAATATTTTAACCTTAATTCATACAATGATTTTTGTGGTCTCAATTATTTAAATAGGTATAAATACTATTAAATTTTATTAACATTTCTTATAGGATTAATAATGTAAAGTATTCGAATGACATTTAGGAAAGAAGTGGTTAATAATCCTTGTTAGGTTATAATTCTTATTGGAAGCATCGGCAAGATAACTAAGCGTTGGTTTCCGAGACCAAAATCTCTGTATCATCATCCCTATATATTTTAAAAGGGAATTTTGATCTCTCAGAAACTCACGAGTAGACATATGTAGATGTAAAACAAAAAAAGGTACTACACTATCTAACTCATTATGTTACGTTATTTTTTTTTAGCTTTTACCAAAAACTAATTTCTTTTTATACTTTTAAATTTAACAGCGTACATAGCCGTGTATTGCAAATTATTCACTTTTATTTCTTTCTTAATATTGAGTCAATAAAGGTAAGAATATTCAACTTACGGTAAGTCTTTAAATAGCGCACCTGCCCAAAGCTGCAATTGACGCTACACATTTATTACCCCTGATTGCAAACCCTTGGCTTTCGAAAGAAACGCACCTTTTAGTTATCCTTTCATTCACTAATTTAGGAACACATTAATGTGCTAGTTGCATGTAAAAGTTACAAACGACTGTACAATATCAACTAGATAAAAAAGCAAACATCGCTCAAATGGATAATAAAATTTTGATGAATAAACTTAGAATAAATATTACAGGGTGAGCATTTTGTCCTAATTATTAATACCATTTAATAATTAATACCACGTTGTTTGCACACCCCTATTTGATAACTCCTAGTAATAAGTCTTATTTATATTTTAACAATTATTCCACACAAGAAGATTACGGTAAATGCCCTATAAAAAAGCACACCTTTTATACAGCGCCTACTAAAACATCACCATTAAAAAAATAAAATAAAAACTATTTCAATAGAGTAAAAAGTTCAGAATTATTTATGTCTGCAATTCAACTAGATACATTATAACAATCATTAAAATTAGATTAAAACATCAAATCATAACTGGAATAAGGTCAATGATTATGATATACTAGCTTTCGCCTGCGATTCCGACTGCGCGAATAAAAAAAAACTTAATTAGTAGTCTATGCATTTTTCCAGACCAGTGGTTCCCAAACTTATTTTGTCTACTGCCCACTTTGAGAATAAATATTTTTTTAGCGC